TCTATAGTGATGTCAGATCAATATACTGCCCTCATAAAGCTATTTATGGCATCTGAAAGCTGTTTCGGATGCTCCAGCTTTATTAAATAAAGGAAATTTAGCCCATCATAGCTAAAACAACCATTGAGTATATATATATATATGAGTCAGCTTCAACTGTGTGCACAGGTTCAACAGGTTTCAGTACCTTCCCTTGTTGTTTTTATAAAAGTGTCTGGCTGTGATTTCTTTATGATCTTTTTTAATTAATTGGGTGTGTTGCCAGTTATCCAGATAAAGTCCAGCTGGATCACTCCCATGGGGAAAACACATAAATAAAAGTCATTTACATTCCACAACATGGTGTGACAGTATTTAAGCCAGGGTTAGTTAGTTCATCCATAAATAAGTTAATTTATTTTCGTAATGCTGTAACATGTTGTTCTCGTATTTTTCTCTTTTGTATACAACAAAAGAGAAAAGAATTCTGCTTTAACTCTTGCACATTTGGCTTAGTGGTTTTCACTGTCGCCTCGCAACAAGAAAGTCGCTGGTTCAAGCCCAGGCTGGGTCAGTTGGCATTTCTGTGTGGAGTTTGCATGTTCTCCCCGTGTTCGCATGGGTTTCCTCTTGGTGCTCCGGTTTCCCCCACAAGTCCAAAGACATGTGCTGTAGGCGAATTGGATGATTTAAAATAGACCGTAGTGTTTGTGTTTGAATGTGAGAGTGTATGGGTGTTTCCCAGTACTGGGTTGCAGCTGGAAGGCCATCCGCAGCGTAAAATATATGTTTGAATAGTTGGTTCATTCCGCTGTGGCGACCCCTGTTGAATAAAGAGACTAAGCTGAAGGAAAATGAATGAATGAATGTGCTCATTTAATATGCACATTAAAGCATATAATAATAATAATTATAATAAATTATATTTAGATTTATTGTTTGACATTAAATTTCCCTCAAACATATAGCTATATCAAAATTCATTAAGTAGAAAATATTAAAAAATACTAGAAATAGTAAAAATGTATATTAAAAATTTTATTATTTACTGATTTATTATTATTATTTTTTAATAAAATACAAAAATAAATGTCATTTACATTTCACAAAAAGTGTGACAGTATTTATGTCAGGATTAGTTAGTTCATCCCAAAAAAAGTTTAATGAATTTAGTAACGCTGTAACGTGTTGTTCTAGTGCAGGTAGCTTTTTTTCTTTATAAGTTTGTGTGTGTTTACCAGTACTGGGTTGCAGCTGGAAGGGCATCTGCTTCATAAAACATATGTTGGAGTAGTTGGTGATTCATTCCTCTGTGGCGACCCCTAATGAATAAAGGACTAAGCCGAAGGAAAATGAGTGAATGAGGGTACATTTGGTGACAGGTGGGATATAGTGTACGCAAGTGTGTCTTTGTGCAAGACAAGTTACTGGAGAAGTGTGTGAATATCAGAGGCTTGCAGGAAAAAAATTAAACAAACTCACAGTTTTAAACTCGCAATAAATTACATTCTGTTCTCATTCTTGTTTACTTTTACAGTGTACTTCCATTTTATTTAATGCTGTATTCTATTCACTAAATTTTGCAGAATAACAAGACTGGAGTTAGCTTATAATTATGAAAATGTGTGTTTTACGTGCTTCTAAAACAAGCTAACAAACCTAAAATGTACCTTTAGGGAACATTCCTGCAGGGTTATTTTTAGCTTGTAAAAATATCAACCTAAAAATAACCCATTGGGAATGTGCTGTATGGTTATTTTTAGGTTATTTAGAAGCACCCACCCTGCAACATTCAGAGAATGTTACTTTGTGATTGCAAAACTTAAAACCTAAAAAGAATCTACAACAATTTCAAAAAAATTAATTAAGGCAGGGGTGTCAAACTCCTGGAAGGCCGCAGCTCTGCATAGTTTAGTTGCAGCTCTGCTTCAACACACTTACCTGTAGGTTTCAAACAAGACTGAAAGACTCGATTAGTTTGATCAGGTGTGTTTAATTAGGGTTGGAACTAAACTGTGCAGAGCTGTGGCCCTCTGGGAGTTTGACATCTGTGATATAACGGAATTAAATACAAACAAAAGGGAAAATTATGTGTTTGCAGGATAAAGCCGCTGTCACACTGCACTTTTCTCCCCATGGACTTCTATTCAAATGCACATGCGTCAGACCGGAAATGCAAGTTTTGCAGTTCGCTGCGTTTGAAAGTTCAAGCTTGGTAAACTGACCTGTGAAATCGCATCACGTGATTGCTTGAGACCAGTTAAAGATCAAAACATGAACTCTTTTACAATATGGAGCAATTGCTCGCTTGTTTAATGGGTGGGCACCGTACAACAGAATTCACATGCTTAAACTATAGTGTGACAGCGGCTTAACAGTGTCATTTACATGCATTTTATCTGTCCCTCCAGGATTTTGCGAGTCAAATGCTTCTTGAGAGATAAAAAGGAAAATCTGACAAGATTTTTGTATGATTTTACAGCAAAGCATTAGAATTAAAGCAAAGAAAGTCATTAAGTCATTTAGGCTGTAAATATTAAGAAAATGTCCTTAGCAAGTGTTGGAGGTACTGAGTTATGCATGATTTTGTTAAATAATATCATACATTTCAGTTTGTTTTCAACCAATCCTTATTATATACCTCCAGAACACTGGAATACACAGAGTCATATTGGAATCATTTAGTGCCTTTTTTAAGCTTGATCTAGATTGCTATTCACTGTCAATATATGGACAACAGTTATTATAGAGCATTTTTACTTTTCACTTTTTTTTTTATTTTGCTTTTTTTTAAAAAAAAAGAAAGAATGGCACACAGCGTTAGCACAACACTGAGCTGAGTAAATAATCATTGAAAAAAAATATATAATTTTTTCTTGAAATGAACTTGAACTCTCTTGAAATGGGGAAGGAAATTATTAGAACCCGCTCGACTAGACTACTTAACAGCTTTTCCCAAAAGCTGTTATTGCCCTCAAATCAAATCATTCAACCAGCAAATCATCCCCCTCTGAAATATTATGCCAGCTCCCAAAACCAGAACCACCCCACCACACCACGAAAACCTCAAAACATGCAAACTCCGAGTGTGCCTCACACAGGTGAGTGGGCTTGACAAACCACCTGTAGAAAACACACTCTTTTATCTGACACTTTAGCAAGCACTTGCACCAGACACATTCTTACAATCACACCATATCTCTAGAAAAATATATTGCACATTTTTGAAGTGTGCTCTACACAGGTAAGTGGGCTTGACACACCACCTTTAGAACCACTCTTCTGTCAGTATGCCCCAGAAACTTTACTTAAACTCCATCTTATAAGCACTCAATAAGGAAAGCAATGTTTACCACAGTGTTATGTACCACAATCATGTTGCACTACTTGTTTTCTTCAACCTCAAATACCTCTTTTGCACAATATCTTGCACAATGTTGTTCTGTCTTATGTTAAAGTACTTCTATAGCCTGTCTTAAGTTTTGTGTGTAGTTTAACTATTTATATTATACAGTGCCTATAGAAAATCATCATACCCCTTTGAAATTACTTTATTTGTCAAAGACCCTAAAATCAAGTCACATTCCAAATAACTTCTCCAGCCTTTACATGTTTTCGTAGCCGTCTACAACTTCATCCCGAAAGTCTTTTGAAAGCAGGGTGTAATGCGAGTAAACGTATTGATTTGGTCTCTCTGTGATTACATGTTTGTTGATGATTTTCAAAATCAGTTTTTTGATGATTTTCTATAGGCACTGTAGGTTTAGATCACCTTTCTGGTATGATAGTTATGAATAGGTTTAAAATAGCTCTTTCGTCCGGTGTGGTTTTCATGTTATGATTATGTTTATTTCTGATTATGTTTAGCACCGAGGCTTTTTAAGACAAAACATTTTATTCCACTGTTTGACCAACAGTGGTGTAAAGTAACAAATAGCAAATACTCAATTACTGTGAGTTTATTTTCTCAGGAAATGTACTTTTCTGAACAGCTTTTAAAAATATGTACTTTTACATTCACTTGAGTACATTTTTAGTGCTGTGTCTGTACTTTTACTCCACTGTTTTCTTTTAACCTGCAGTCACTACTTTATTTTATTTTTTTCTTGCCTATGGTGATTTGCTAAAGTAGAATAACCTGTTCTGTGATTCCCGTCCAATCAAACCGCATCACACAAAACAACTTCAAGAGACAGAAAACACAAAATCGATTCATGCCAATTGTAATCACAGAGAGACCGTTTAGACTGCATGTCACTAATGAGAATATGACGGATACCTACTGTATGATGACTGAAATCGCCTTAATCCCTAAATGCACTACAGAATGTTACGTTTTCACACACACGCACAAATTGCATGTAAATGTTTTAACTTTTCACAGAGTAAAACTCACTTATGTTAAGTACTTTTAAAAGGGCTACTTTTTACTCATACTTTGGGTAATATTTACAACAAATATGTTACTTGCACTACATTTTTTGGGTAGTAATGGTAAAGTAATGGTACTTTAGTATGATTTTTCTGTAGTCTTTCCACTATTGATGTCGACACACAGCGAAATGGCAATAAAGCTCAACTTAGCTTGACTTGACTTGTGGCTCAATGATACAATTTTTGTCTTTTTTTTTTTTTTTGGGGCATTTAAGGAGTGTGCCGAACTCCTCGAAGAGGCTCAATGGCACAATATTTGTCTTTTTTTGCCATTTAGAAAGCTTGCCGAACTCTTTAGTTGATGCTCAGTGACTCAATTTTTGTCTTTTTGGCATTTAAGGAGCGTGCTGAACTCTTCGAGGAAGGTCAATGGCACAATATTTGTCTTTTTTTTTGGCATTTAGGGAGCATGCCAAACTCTTCAAAGAGGCTCAATGACAATATTTGTCTTTTTTCTTTTAGAAAGCAAGCTGAACTCTTTAGTGGAGGCTCATTGACTCAATATTTGTCTATTTTGGCATTTAGGAAGCATGCAGAACTCTTCGAAGAGGCTCAGTGACACAATTTTTGTCTTCTTTGCCATTTAGGGAGCGTGCCGAACTCTTGGAGGAGGCCAAGAAGATGGAGGCGGCTAAGTTCCGCTACATCCTCCCGGTGTATGGCATCTGCAGTGACCCGCAGGGGCTGGTGATGGAGTACATGGAGACGGGCTCTCTGGAGACTCTGCTGGCTACCGAGCCACTGCCCTGGGAGCTGCGTTTCCGGATCATCCACGAGACGGCGGTGGGCATGAACTTTCTGCACTGCATGAATCCACCTCTGCTCCATCTCGACCTCAAACCCGCAAACATCCTGCTGGACGCACACTATCACATCAAGGTGAGACGCACTTTAGGAAATATCTGCAGTTTTCTTCCAACAAATTTCAATCATGAAAAGTTGGAAAAAGTGATGTTTATGAACATTTTTAATAGTTGAAAGTGGTATATTGTCTGATTTGGTGTTTTTTATGCTACAAAAACCTTGTAATAAACTGCCAGTACATTTTCTGTTATTTTACAGAGTCACTTTGTTAAACTGTAGAGTTGAATTTTCAACATCAAAAGTCGACAGAGCAGAGATTAACATCCCATAATGCAATTCACAACCGTAAATAAACAGAAAACAAAGACAAAGACACAAAGACAAGAAAACTTGTGAATCATAAAACATGGAAACTGTTCATTTACATTATTTACAGTGTAGAAAATAAATAATGTAATGAAGTGATGGGGACTTTAATCGCTCTTGTTTTAGATGTTTAAGAAATGAGTTGATTCATTGCATCAAAGCTTCAGTGCGAGTGATTCATTAAAATCGAACGCAGCCAAGACAAAACACCTACGTGCAAGTTATTTGGAGCTTGATGTGACTATTGCTCAATGCAAAAGCTGACACATTTACTGAAATTTATGTTGATCCAAAGCTAAATGGCTTCTGTGGAACACAACAGGGGATATTTCCAAATATTATGTGTTTTTCAATGTATTGAACCTTATGTGGCATCTGCGTTGTTTAAAACCAACTCTGACAAAAAGTGTCTTACTTATGTCCTTCAATGCCAACATTTTTTGCAAAACTCCTTTTGAATTAAAGTGTATATTTGTTGGGTAGTGAAAATAATATATAAATATATATAATATTATTAATCATGAAAATAAAATTGCTGTAGTTATTTTTATTTGACACTTTTAAAAAAATCCCTAAAAATAAGGCACAGTGTAGTGTATTAATTTAAAGGATATTTCCAAATGTAATTCCAAATATATTGAAAGTCATGTGGGGTCAGTGTTGTTGCACAAGCTTGTCTTTCCATTTTCCTTGTCATTTTAGCTCGTCCTTCCATTCAGACATTTTTTGCCAAAATGCTTTCAATTAAAGTGGGTACTAAATATACAATTGTTGTCGATTTAAAAAAAAAAATAATAAAAAAATTGAAGAATTTGTACATGTACAGTTGAAGACAGAATTATTAGCCCCCTTTTTAATTAATTTTCCCCAATGATGTTTAACAGAGCAAGGACATTTTTACAGTATGTCTGATAATATTTTTTTTTCTGGAGAAAGTCAAATTTTTTTTATTTCGGCTAAAAGCTTTAAAGTTAAAAAAAAGTTTTTTAAGTTCTATATTATTAGCCCATTTAAGCTATATATTTTTTCAATAGTCCACAGAACAAAACATCATTTTACAATCACTTGCCTAATTACCCTAACTTGCCTAGTTAACCTAATTAACCTAGTTAAGTCTTTAAATGTTACTTTAAGCTGGATAGAAGTGTCTTGGAAAAAAAAAAAAAAAAAAAAAAAAAAAAATATATATATATATATATATATATATATATATATATATATGATATACTAATTCAGTTATTAGATCTAAATTATTAAAACTATTATGTTTAGGAATGTGTTGAAGAAATCTTCTCTCCGTTAAACAGAAATTGAGGGAAAAATAAATGGGGGTAATTCAGGGTGGCTAATAATTCTGATTTCAACTGTATTTTTTTGTGTTTTTGGTATTATTGTAAGTCATTGATAATGACTATTATTTAAGTTATATTTTATTGGATTTTTTTGTGTCTTTTATATATTTCTTAAACACATTTTTAATATTAATTAATTTTAGTTTAGTTTTAGTGTTAGTTTTTAAGTGTAATTTAAACTTGGTACATGTGGGAAGTTACTGTATGTATTCTTATAGGTAATTTATTTTTTTTAAATTGCAAGAAAAGAAAATATCTAATAAGGCTAAGAAACAGTAAAAAGATAAAGTTTATAGAAAAATAATTAAAAGTAGAAATAAAAAAGGAAATGGATATAATATAGGAAGAAATATAGGACAAACAGTAGACAAATCTGGTAAAACATACTTCAATAATCCTTATTTTTTTTGTACATTTGAGAAATAAATTACATTGCCGTTTTTAAGGTATAATATTTCAAATTATTTAACACACTTTAATAATCTGTTATTGTTATTGGGTTCTGTTAACACACTTTTATGAAGTAAAAAGTCTTCACGATATGCATGCATGGAAATATGGCATGACATGCAGGAAACAAATATTACATGACATTGTTTGTTTTTGTAATGTAAAGTGTGACGCTGACAACAGAGATGAGGATCCAAACGCAGGTTTATTAAACAGAAAAGTCAGGCAAACAACAGTCAACACAGTGGCAAACAAATGTACACAGGAAATCCAGAGTCGTGGCAGAAAACAGGCAGAAAGTTAAAAGGCAGGAAGCATACAGGAATAAACAATAAAACAAGGCAAGGGTCTAACACGGCAAAAACAAGGCAAGGAAAGCGGGTCAAAATGTTCACAATACTGCTTACAAGACTCAGCAAAGTCTGTGTGTTTGTGTGCTGTATAAATAGTCCCAACTAATCAGTCTTTGAGCAGCTTCAGCTGTGTGAGTATAATCAAACAGGATCAGCAACTGGTGTCTGTGCGTGTGGTGCATGACTGGAACTTGTAGTTCTTGAAATGGCGGATTTGTAGTCCGTTAGCGATCTGTGTGTACCAGCAATCTGCACAGGCTTGATCACTGGTGACCGTGACATTTTTATAGTTTTAGTATTCAGTTATTTTCTTTTTGCCTAATCCCTTATATATCAGAGAACGCCACACCGGAAGGAACCCCAGACTATTCCAGCATATGTTTCATACAGCCCTTTCAGTCTCAACGCAGTACTGGGAAACAATCATTCACATATACACACACTGCGGCCAATTAGCTCATCCAATTCACCTATACCACAGGTTTTTGGACTGTGGGGAAAACCGGAGCACCCGGAGAAAACCCATTAGAACACAGGGAGAATATGCAAAACAGAAATGCCAACTGACCCAGCCAGGACTTGAACCAGCGAACTTCTTGCTGCGAGGCGACAGTGCTAACCACTGAGTCACTGTGTCACCCATTTTTCAAAATTATTTAGTTTAAATATATTTATGAAATTAACAATTCTATTTTCATCAGTTACTCATACTTAAGTCTAAGGGTTTGTAAATTATAACAAAGAAAAGATGGTGATGTTTGGGTCAAATGAAAAGCATCATTTCCCATGTAAAAAAAAATTAAATAAACAGCGACATCCTGATTGAAAAATCCAGCTTATGTGTTTTTTGTTAGTGAAAACAGCCTGTCATCAAGATGATTTTTAATCTTAATCCAGCGCTGACAACCCAACAACTGTTTAAATCTCAGTCCTGTCAGATCGTCTGTGCAGCAAAAAAATAAAAAGTGACAGGGGGAAGAGCACACCTATCATTTTCTTTCCCCCAACATACCTTTCCTGAAAACTCCCTGAGGGTGGAAAAGCTTTCCCATGATAAAATCCCATTTATATCCAGCCTTCCCATGGATGAGTAAGCAGGTGTCACGAGGGATGGGTGGGAATCATCGTGTCGGATTGAAAAGGCTGGATGTAAACACGTATTCTGGACCAGTCTGAACAAGCTAAAGCCAGGCAGTGTTAATGAAGGGCTGGCACACACACGCCTACATATGCGTGCACACATTTACAGAAAGCCAGGGCTTCCCCGCCTAACCGAGCACCTGATTATCTGGTAAATATTATAGTGAATACACTTAAATAAGAAATGAAAGCGATATCATTATTTCTGAAGACTTTAAGACTTGCCCAATAGACTGCCACTGAAGGGAAATAAAGTCGTGAGGATTTTTAACAATAGCTGATGAGTGTTTAAATACACGCCTGCTTTGTGCTTTTGAAGTTCTTAATTGGTTGTATGTTGATTTGTTGAACCCATCCAATTGAATTAAATTAATGACGTTTAATTGCAGAGTTGGTGTGGAGATCTTTAGAGAGAGCTTCTGCTCATAGAACACAGCAAATGACACGAGTCTTTTACACTCTCAAAATACTTCAGTATCTGTATATGCATGATTTACAATGAACTAAAAATGTAAACACTAAAATAGATGAATTAATAGTTTTATAAATGAGTGGCATGGTGGCTTGGTGGTTAACACTTTCGCCTCACAGCAAGAAAGTTGTTGTTTTGAGTCCCAGCTGGACCGGTTGCGGTTGGCAATTCTGTGTGAAGCACATGTTCTCCCCGTGTTTGTGTGGGTTTCCTCCGGTTGCTCCGGTTTCCCCCCACAGTCCAAAGACGTGCGCTATAGTTGAACTGATTAAACTAAATTGGTTGTAGTGTATGAGTGTGAGAGTGTATGGGTGTTTTCCAATACTGGCTTGCAGCTGGAAGGGCATCCGTTGTGTAAAACATATGCTGGAATAGTTGGCGGTTCATTCTGGTGTGGCTGCCCCTCTTAAATAAAGGGACTAAGCCTAAGTAAAATGAATGAATGAATGAATAATAGTTTTAAATGCAAACAGTAACATTAAGGCAAGACACAGCAGTCAGAAACCTGTGGTCTTTTTTGGCTTTCCATAAAGGTTAATATTTAGATTCTGTTAGGAAATATTTAAAATACAGTTTTAAGTTTTTCTTTTGTCGCATTTGATCATTTTAAGTCTGTAGACTTCATTATTTACGTATATTTACAGAAGAACATGTTCATTCATTTTATATATACATTTTATTCTCCACAAAATTGTGATAAATTTTGTTTTTATTTAGTATTTTTCCGAATTATAGAGTGTTAAAATAGATTGTCCAAATCCTCTCTGTAAAAAAATTATTATACAACCTGAATCTGACTTCATCCGGTGTTCAGATGTTTGTGCTAGAAATGTTTGCAAATGTGTGCTTATTTAATCTAATAATGCATCATTTAATCAACATTTTTGAAGACTTTTACTAACAAAAATATCAGCCATTCTTAATGACTGTTTTTTTCTCTCTGTTTAATTTGAGTGAGTGATTTGCAAAGCTTAATGGGATTGTTTGTTCACAGTTCACTCCAACAGATGTTTCTAGTCCAAAATATTGTCTTGTTATCAGAAAAATGCCAAAATGAAGTGATTTTGTTTCTTAAAACAAGCAAAATAATCTGACAATAAACAAAATAATCTTGTTTTTCCTTTTTGACATAAGATTATTTAGCTTTTATTTAGGAAAAGCTCACTTAATTTCCACATAGTATTTCTTAAAACAACACAATGTATTTTGCTTGTCATAAAAATGCTTCTTGATTTAAGACTTTTTAGATATTTAGATAACTAGGAAAAAAAAAAACAATATCGATGTAAGAAACGCTTTTTTTTGCAGTGTTTTGTTCTTTTTTTGTCCGATTTTATCTTTATTTTTTGTGTCAAATCAAAGTTTGTAATGTTGTGATACTCCTCCTAGGTTATTATTTTGTTTTTAGATTATAATTGTTGTGTGTTTTTGGTTTCAGATTTCTGACTTTGGTCTTGCACGGTGGAACGGTTTTGCCCGGGATGATGATATCAGTCGAGACGGGTTTTGTGGCACCATCGCCTACCTTCCTCCAGAGAGAATCATAGAAAAAGATCGAATCTCTGACACCAAACACGACGTGTACAGGTTAGTCGATGTGTAAACTGTAACTCAAATCAACCATCTTTCAATTCAATATTGTCTAACACCACATATGTTCTTTCACAGTTTCTCCATTGTTATCTGGGGAATTCTCACACAGAAGAAGCCATATCAAGGTAAGAGGAGAAATAAAAGTGAAAAGATTAAAAGTGAAAGTATGTGTAGAGTGTCTGGAATAGCTGAAGTTTGTTATATGCATCAGATGATCCCGTAAACATGGATTTTTAGCATTCACTTCGATCCTGCTGGCACTTGGTGAGGGAGTGTCTGTGTGTTTATCTGGTTGTGATTTCCAGCTAAATCTGAAGGGAAGAAGATGCATTTTTTTAGAAACTTGCAGTCACGAGAATAAGTTGTGAGAGAATGAAATGTAACAACAACAACAAAAAATGTTGTGTTTGGCACTGGTTAATGGAATCAGTTGCTGCCAAACAGCCTAAGGATACTGTAAAATATTCTATCTACAGTAAAATGTAGGTGTTGGTTTTTTTAGAGGTGGTTACTTTTTCTAAATTTATTTTTTTTATTCATTTCTCAATTTCATATTTATTTTTGACAAATAAATGATATGAATAAAAAAAAGTGTATTTCGAAAATAAGATTATTCTTTTGAATTTTTTTTATCAATGTTCATTAATATATTGCATAATAGTAATAATAGTAATCAGGGCTTGACATTAACACATGCCAGCCCTCCAAATGCGGGTGGATTTCAGCTGTGGTGGCTTAGACAGCCGCTCCCACTAGACACTTTGGCTGGTTAAAAATCATTTTTAAATTGTAGTTCATCGAGAAGCAGCACGACTGACAAAATAACTGTTCGCGCGAGCAAATGAAAGCAAGTGAATACCAAATGAGAGGATGATCATGCGCACTGTGAGACGCAGGCTTTTTTGAGGTTTTCTCATTGACGAGGGCTTTAGTATCGCGCGCACAGCTTATGTGATGCGCATGAGAGTTTATAAAGCATGTGCTATCATTTCTTTTACGTGAAGCAAAAGTGTCTGCAAACAGTACTTGTGCAAAGCTGGAAAAAGCACGTGCACACACAGTCCTGCTGCTTTTAAGAGCTACAGATACTTTTTAAAAAATGTGTTTCTATAAGCAGCAGCAGTTGCCGCTTTTGCTTTTTACCATTAATGAATAACGATCAATGTGTGCACGTGATCATCCTTTCTTTATCGCACATGGTATGTTTTCTTTTGCTTAGTCATTTTTTTTTATTTATGGTTTAATTATCATCCTTTACAATAACATTGTTTTAATTGCTTTAACTTCCTATTTATGTATAGTGAACTGGTGGTCTGGGACCTTTAGCCAGGACAGATGACTGTGCATACTTGTAGATGCATGACAATAATTATTTTCAAAATGTAATAATAAAAGAAAAGTTTTGCTTGAATAAAAAGCGCACATATACAGCTATTTTTAGCTTGTTTTTATCAGTTTAATTAGTTAAAATTTATTTCATTCATTCATTTTCTTGTCGGCTTAGTCTAAAATACAGTTTTCAAGATGAAGAAATTCAGGGGTCATCAACAGGGATGAGTAGACTGTAGATGATCACCGAAAAGTCAAACTAATCACAGAGCTTGCTGGCATTTGTTTGGCTCAGGAGGAGACCATTTGTCTGCAAAATGACTATCGGGGGTCAGCTATTTTCAGTAGTGTGTGTAATAAACACATGCTTCAGTGAACCAAATTCATATATTTAATTCAATTACCTCTCATTGGTTAATCAAACTTAAGCTTTCAGTGTTTTGAGGGATAAAAAGCTGATTCTGTACTGTTACTTTATCTTTTTAGTTCAGAAATTTTAATTCTAAACTTTTTAATAGCATATAATAATCAGTTTTATTCACTTATAATAGTCAATAATTCAAATGAACACAATTTAAATTCAGATTGTTTTGGCATACTATTAGCTTCATACGTATTTAGGAGACATTCACCCAGAATGCATCTTTGCACCTGAAACGCCAAAACAAGGACTGTAAAAAAAAAATAGCAGTGCTCATGAAATAACATGAACGACTCATGAAGGTTTGGTACTACACCCAAACAAAATCTGACTGTAATCTCATTTCTTGAGATATCAACTTTAGGTAGAAAGAGACCAAACTTAAAAACATACTTGCTCCAATGACTGAACTTTTTTTTTAATTCATTTTTAAAATCACTTTTGGGTGAACTATCCCAATAAATCTATGCTCTAAAGAATCCAACAATTTAAGTTAAAATGTCAAATTGTGTTTTTTTTTAATTGGACATTGGATTTAAATGTGAAAAGTACATACAACATATATAAATGTAATTATCCATGATTTTAGGTGCTGGAAAAGCATAAAAATGCATCTTGAAAGTGCTTGAAAAGTTCTGCAATTTGAAGTTGGAAAAGGTGTAAGAACCCTGATTGTAGGTTTAGCGCAATGTGGTGGAATTTATTATATTCATTCCTGATAATTTTATTCTATTTCTTTTAAAATATTGTGTGTCAGCTTCACTAACGTCACTTATTTCTCTGTCTGCCTCACAGGAGAAAACAACATCCTGCACATCATGGTGAAGGTGGTGAAAGGCGTCCGTCCAGACCTCAGCCTTATTCCCCGCAGTCGACCGCAGGCCTGCTCTGGCTTTCTGTCCCTCATGCAGAAGTGCTGGGCTCAGTCTCCACAAGCCAGACCAAGTTTTGAAGGTGAGCACATTAGTAATGAGTCACAGGAGCCAGAGCTGCACGGTGACCATGATATGACAGAATGTAGCAGACTTATGAATGATCTTTACACAATGTGTCATTCCTGTTCTGCTGTACAGACTGTTCATAAACCACACTCGCGTTTCGTCATTTCAGGAAGTGTTTCTATAAAGGGACTTTCAGAAATATGCTCTGCTCATTTAATTGTTGTGTTTTGGTTTGGTTTTTATGTTAAAGCAACATAAATGGTACTGTATAAGAGTATTTTAGCAAACAAGTAGAAAGCACACCAACATTGTAGTGTTTGTTTAGCTTTTTTAATGCTAAAGAAACATGAATGGTATACTATGACAGCATGTTAAGGTGTTAAAGAGCATCACAAAAAACCCCCAGAAAATAACAAACAAGAGGAAACCATACATACACAAAGTAAAATAAACAATGAATTATTAACTAAAAGAAGTTGGTAATAAACAAAAAATATTACAAGCAAACTAAATATTCTTAGTGAACAAAACAAACTAAACATTATGAATAAATTATTTTTTTCAAACACAACATTTAAAGAACCTGTCTATATTTATACTTATATTTCAAAGTATATTTAATGTATATTTATTTACTTGATTAGAAAACATATTTGAGAAGTTTTTCCATCATGTCACTGGAAGTTAATTTAACATCATCAAGTTCTGATGCGTTTTTAATAATTGTTTGAATTTAGTTTTCATTTTTATCTGTTTCCATTTTAATTGTTTAATTTTGTGTATATTTATTTATTAATTAAAAATATTTATTTATGATTTAAGTTTTATTTTTTATTAAATATTATTATTATTTTTCTTTTATTTTAGATTTGAGTAAAACTGTCAGAAAATATGGCATCTAGATGTTAGAATATGAGAATATACGTTTTTATTTAACATCATGATGTTAAATAACTCTGTGACATGATGGAAAAAAAGTATATTATTGTTATTATATACTGTTATATACTGTTTTTAATTGCTTAAATTAGTTTAAATTGTATTCGTTGATTTTATTTAATTTGAGTCTTTGGCAAGTTTTTGTCTTTTTTTTTCATTTAAATTTTTTTACTTTTTTTGTTTATTTTGTTTTTATTTTTTCCATAATCTACAGAACAAACTATGGTTAAACAATAACCTGCCTAATTACCCTAACCTGCCTAGTTAACCTAATTAACCTACTTAAGACTTTAAATGTCACTTTAAGCTGTATAGAAGTGTCTTGAAAAATATCTAGTAAAATATTATTTACTGTCATCATGACAAAGATAAAATAAATCAGTTACTAGAAATGAGTTTTTAAAACTATTATGTTTAGAAATGTGTTGAAAAAAATCTGCTCTCTGTTAAACAAATTGGGGAAAAAATAAACAGGGGGGCTGATAATTCAATTGCAACTGTATCTGTTTCCATATTAACTTTAAGTTTTTGTCAATTTTATTTTTCCTTTGAATACATGTTTTTTTCAGTGTGTTTTGTTTTTTATTAAGTAAAACTGAAAGTATAAATAGTTTTCTATGCAACTAGATGTAAGAATATAAGTGTTTTCCATCATGTCAATAAGTTATTTTAGCATCATCAAGTACTAATGCATTTTTATTACATTTATTTCATTTTTATGTGTTGTTTAAGTGTTAAATTTAGTTTTTGTCGTTTTTTTATTTTTATTTTTTAATTTATATTTTTTTAAATTATTTTGTTTTTTTAATAATTGTTTTCATTTTTATGTTTTATTTACTTATTAATTTTAGTTTTTCTCAAGTATTTTAAATTTTTGTTTTCATCTAAAATTTTATTTACTTTAGTTTTAAGTATTAATGAGTTTTTGTATTATTATTTTTTATGTGTTGTTTCCGTGTTAATTTTAGTTTTGTCATTTTTATTATTTTATTTTCATTAAAAAAATTTATTTCGTTTTTAGAATTAAGTTAAACTGAAAGTAAATATTAATTGTTTTGTTTTCTTGGCGACTAGATATAAGAATTGAAGTCTTTATACATAAAATGTATCAGATAATGTTAATACAGTTACACCATTCAGCTTAACCAACATATTTCAGACCTGTACTTATTAAAATATATAAAAGAACAAATGACTGTACCCAGTTTTATTCATTTTAAAAATAATTCAAAAGATAAAGATATGAAAGACTTTGATTTTGTCAGTCAATTAAATCTTGTTCTAAATGTGCTTGATAAGAAGTATTCCTATATAAGCTATTGTTACAGTGAATGACATTTCAGTGGCTGTTTTCCGTAAATCAAGAAAGAAAAGCATGACAGTCGTAACTTTTTGCTCTGAACACAATATTATTATCATTAACCCATACTAATGGATAAGTGTGTAATATTGTTCACCTTGTCCTCCAGAAATCACATCAGAAGCTGAAGAACTGTGCACCAAACCCCATGAAGAGTCTAGAGCTTCTGTTTCTTCAGAGCCTGAATGTTCGCCCTGTCCTGCTCCTGCCTCCTCTGAACAGGTAACATCTAGATCATTTCTAAAACTGCCTTTTAATATTGATAAAACAATGTTGAATAATAACACCAATTATATCAAGTTATCTCTACAATAATGTTTGTTTGTGTATTCAGGGTCATTTTGTTTTGTAAATGTTAGCTTGAACACTCTCACTATAACTATTTTAATACATTCAGCGCAAGTTATAATGAAATAATTAAAGCTAATTTTCAACTTTTTGTGTGTTGTTGACATTATTAAGTTAAATAAATATTAGCTTGAAACATTTATTTCATGTATTATTTGTCATTTTAGTTATAAAAGTTGCATTTTTTGTCAATCCCTCGTTTCGGGTCAACTCAGTTACATTGAAATACTGTATACCCATCACTGGCCACTTTATTAGGTACACCTCATGTCTACATGCCTAAATGTATTGAGTTGCTGCCATGTGATTGGCTGATTAGAAATTTTCATTAATGTAGTTGGACAGGTGTACCTAATAAAATGGCCAGTAAGTGTATATACAGATGCAAGAATACAAGATTATATAAATAAAGTGTTAAAATAGATTTATCATTCATCTACCTCTATGTTCGGGTCAACTTTCATTGGTTATAAAAGGTTGAAGTATAAAGGTATAAAGTTTGCCCATCACATTTAAATCTGTATTTAAGTCTTGTATCGTTTTACATTAATGATGGAATAAGTTGACTGTAAATGAATGTAAAATACCTGAAATGGGCCTGAAATGAGTCATCTTGCAAACGTAAAGCAGCGTTTCCATTTAGATGTGTTTAAATAAGTCATTAAGATTGACCTTGCGATGTCATTTAGACTTCCTGACCCTGTTATTAGGCAACTCTTTGGTATTTGTTGGTTTTAGTGGAAGTACATAGTGTAAATGTTTTACCCTGATGACGGTCCTTCAGCTGTGGCAGAGAATGCCACCAAACTGCATTGCTTTAAACAGAGCCCTTTTGTCCTTTAGAGAATGAGCGTATAAAACTGTTTAGTTTAAGACGACAATTTGTCTAAATAACATATATTCGATTGAGCTGTTTACATGTACAGTCTGTGGTTTATTTGCATTGTGTATTTGCCAATGGACACCTTCTGTTGCTTTAAGACTGGACAAGGTGAAAAGGAAAGTAGTTTTCAGCATATATATTTTCTTCAGGTGATTTATTACACTGCAAACAGGTTTTTAAAAATGTCATGCAAATGAGGCATTGTTTCATTAAATATGCAGTAATTTGCATCCATTTCCAGCACAAAAATCTAGATAAGGTCTTGCTTGCTTTTTTTTTTTTTACATATTAGATTTGGTTAGAACAGACATTGAAAAAAATGGTAGAATATGTGTATTCGTATGAACATACTCTTGGTAAAAACCTGCAAAATATAGATATGAATAAAGCTATGAAGTGTGGTGTATGTAAAAGTGGAGTTTAAATTTTTGTTATTTTAATTCAAATCTACAGACACAAATTGATAAAGTGCAGCAGAGGGAATTGTAGTATATTTGCTGAATATTAGACTGAAAACATTTGATGAAAAGCCAAAAATGGCCAAGTTAAATCTCAGAATTTACCATTTTTTAGCCTGCACTGTCGCTTTAAAAGTCTCATGAAGTGCTTTTAAATTCAATCATTCATTCTCTTTTCGGCTTAGTCCCTCACTTAATCAGGGGTCACCACAGTGGAATGAACCGCCAACTTATCCAGCATATGTTTAACACAGCAGATGCCCTTCTAGCTGCAACCCATCACTAGGAAACATTCAAACAGACTCATTCACACACATACATTACAGACATTTTTAGTTTACCCAATTCACCTATCCGCTTGTTAAGTGGTGACGTGTTTGTGACGTATGTAATACTATTTCCGGGTCCAAGTTTCCATTCATTTGAGTGGAGAAATCATTCGTTTATGATCACTTTTTATTCATATCACGCATTAAAGTTAATTTTACATAAAGTCATAGTGTACACAACAATCTCTGGGCTTGCTGCATAACAAATACCAACATTTTTACAATTTATAAAAAAAATGAATCACTTTCTGGCCATCGGATATTAGGCATGGACATATATATTGCGATCGTGATTTTCGAAAGCATTAAATCGCTTTGTAAACGTTTATTATTACCATTTCATGGGTCTCCCCATTCAGTTGAATAGAGCGATTGGACCCGGAAGCTATTTCGCATGACGTCACACTTAACAAGCAGACAACACATGTCTTTGGAAAACCGGAGCACCAGGAGGAAATCCACACGAACACGGGGAGAACATGTAAACTCCACAGAGCAACACCTACTAACCAGCGACCTTCATGCTGAGGATATTTTGCTACCTATGGTGCCACCGTGCAGCCTGTGCTTTGAAATGTACATTCATATTCAATTTTTGACGTAATCTCAACTTAAAAATGAAGAGGGCGGGACATAGGGTAGCTCCTCCCCTTATAAAAAACAGCCAATAGTGTTTTGTTTTATCACCGCTCTGCCAGTGAGAGCAGTTGAGCTCAATTGCATCAAATGAAAAGGAAATTGCTGCATCCCAATTCGCATACTTATACTAGGCCCTAAAGGTATGTTCTTTCTTGTGTAAAGTAAAAATATATACTTTTGAGTGTGTAGTAGTAGAGTAAGCAAGCTTTGGGGCATACTACTTCCTCATTTACAGATCGTTAAGCTATGAGCCAGGTCAATCATCTCAACACGTCATCCACATTTCTGGCATATCTAATTTCCTACCTTATTGGAGAAGCAGCAGCATGTTCCCATTTATGAGTCTTTCATGCAGAGAAATCTCTTTAGGTCTTTGTGTAATTATGCATTCAGATGTTAATGCCCAAACATCTTTACATAAGGTCAGTATTGTTGTTGCAGGTGAATATAACACCGAAAATGTGATTTAAATATATTCCCTTGGGCTAGATATTAAGTAACCGTCATACAAACATCTTTACCAAGGCCTATCTCTTTGGCGGTTGGTCTCACGCGTCCATCATGTTTGTAGTTTATTTACACTTTTCACCCACGTTTGTAGTTCTAATTGAATTCACGGATAACACGCAATGTATTGTGGGCAATATCTGCAGTTAGAGAATAGACGCTTCTGCACTTAAAATTTTTACCGGAAATATTAAACCATCCAGGAATCTTTGGCATACTCTTTTTAACATACTACGATTTGGGACATGCTAATTCAATGTTCAAATACTATTTAGGATAGAAAATATGCAAATTGGGTCGCAGCAAATGAGTCTTGAAGGAGGCGGGACATGTCAGATACTAGAGAGCATTTGATTGGTCAAAATAACATCTATAACATCAGAAAGATCCGACCCTTCTTATCTGAACATGCAGCTCAACTCCTTGTTCAAGCTCTTGTTCTCTCCAAACTGGATTACTGCAACTCTCTACTAGCTGGGCTTCCAGCTAACTCTATCAAGCCTCTTCAACTGCTCCAGAATGCAGCAGCACGAGTTGTCTTCAATGAACCTAAACGAGCACATGTCACTCCGCTGCTAGTCCGTTTGCACTGGCTGCCAGTTGCTGCTCGCATCAAATTCAAAACTCTGATGTTTGCCTACAAAGTGACTTCTGGCCTAGCTCCTTCTTATCTGCTCTCACTTCTGCAGATCTATGTGCCCTCCAGAAACTTGCGTTCTGTGAATGAACGTCGCCTCGTGGTTCCATCCCAAAGAGGGAAGAAATCACTTTTGCGAACGCTCACGCTCAATCTGCCCAGTTGGTGGAATGAACTCCCTAACTGCATCAGAACAGCAGAGTCACTCGCTATTTTCAAGAAACGACTAAAAACTCAACTATTTAGCCTCCACTTCACTTCCTAATCTGCAATTGCCTCTCTGAATATCACACTAACTGTACAAAAAAAAAACAACAAAAAAAAACTAATACTACTAATACTTCCCTTCTTAGACTTTACAGACCTGAAACTTGCCTTTAGTACTTATTCATTGTTGCTCTTAGTTGTGTAAATTGCTTCCTTGTCCTCATTTGTAAGTCGCTTTGGATAAAAGCGTCTGCTAAATGTAAATTTAAATGTAAATTTGATGAGAAGCTAAAGTATGAGGTGACATGAAATAAATCGTTAATCCATTTAGTCAGTAGTGACAAACTAAGCTTTACATGTTCATACCGGTTTTATATTCTCTAAACGGCAAATTTGTAGCACAATTACAGCTTATAGATATACTTAAAACAGGCTGAAACTATGATCTAAAAATGTTTATTTTAATTTCACAAGACCTTAAAAGGTGTTAACATTTTGTGTAAATATTTCTGTTATTTTTCTCTACTTGCAGACGAACGACCAGAAGCCGGTGAGGCCGAAGTCCGCCATGTTACCTGAGAAAGACTACAGCCTGTCAGAGCTGCTGACTCAGATTGACTCGGGCTTCTCCCGCAGCTTAAGTAACGTCCAAGAAGAGTCCCTGGAGAGCAAAGACAACACCAGCAAGAGACTGTCAGGCATCTCCTCTGTGGACTCGGCTTTCTCATCACAAGGCTCCATTACGCTGTCTTTTGATAAGGAAAACGCTGTAAACGGTAAGATATTGAACGGAGAAAAAAAACGGAAAGCCACAATTGTATATTACCGATCATTAATTTAATTTCCTCATTTAACATTTTGTTTTTGTTTACTGTACTACTTTAGACTCCAGTGAGCTGCAGAAGAAGAAGCTCTGTGACGCGATCCGCACCGAGGACATCGCCAAGCTCATGAAGATCCTCCAGCCTCAAGACGTGGACCTGCTCCTGGATGGCGGCAGCAACTTGCTTCACTACGCTGTCAGTCTGGCCAACGAGGAAGCGGTCAAGTTCCTGCTGCTTAGCAACTGCAACCCCAACCTGGCTAATGCTCAGGGAGCCACGCCCCTCCACCAGGCTGCCGAAAAGCGTCTGAAGGGAGTGTCCGAGATCCTCCTGAGCCGCAAAACCACCAATGTAAACGCCAAAGACGAGGACCAGTACACACCTCTGCACTTCGCAGCACAAAACGGCGACGAGGCTCTAACCCGTTTACTCCTAGACCGCAGCGCTTCCATCAACGAAACAGACGCTCAGGGCCGCACACCAACACACATCGCCTGCCATCACGGACAGGAGAACGTGGTGAGGGTCCTGCTGAGTCGAGGAGCAGATGTCCACGTGAAGGGGAAAGACGACTGGACGGCGCTGCATCTAGCCGCATGGAAGGGTCATCTGGGCATCGTCAAGCTCCTGGTGAAGCAGGCTGGTGCTGATGTTGATGGTCAGACATCAGACGGACGCTCTCCGCTTCATCTAGCATCCCAGAGAGGTCAGTATCGGGTCGCACGAATCCTAGTGGAGCTGGGTGCTAATGTACATCTCACCTCCGACGACCTCTACGCTCCACTTCATGTGGCTGCGGAAACCGGGCACACCAGCACTTCAAGGCTACTTGTGAAGCATGATGCAGATATTAAAAGCCGAACGGCTAACGGCTGCACCGCCTTACACCTAGCCTCCCAGAAAGGCCATCTACCAACAGTTAAAATGCTTCTAGCGGAGGGTGCAGACCCTGAGAGCGTCAACCATGACCTTCGCACGCCGTGCCACCTGGCTGCCCAAAATGGCCACTGCGAAGTGCTCAAAGAGCTTCTGAGAAGCTGCTCGGACGTCGCTAATGCTCAGGATAGAAATGGACTGACTGCACTTCACCTGGCTGTAAGCGGAGGCCACAAAGATGCTATTTGCGTCTTGCTGGAAGGTGGCGCTGACGCGGCACCACTCACTCCACAGCCCGTCGGGGATCGTTCCTTCGACTACACGTCTGAATCTGAGCCGGAGAGTCCCAATCCTCTCACCCCAACCAGGAAAGTGGTGATACTAAAACTCACCAACCGCAAAAACTCTGAGCACACACTGATCCCTGTTGACGCTCGCTGCGAATCGGCACCTTGTTGAGGGTCCTACTGGGGCTTTGACTCCAGGAACTTTTGCTCAAGACACTTTCTGCCTCTTTTTTTGTCATTCACACAAGTGGTAAGACAGAGGCTCTCTCACTGAGATTTAATGTACATACTGTAATTACTCCCTTATCGGACTCTCAAGGGTTTGGGCTGTTGTTGGCTTTCCATCTTCACAATAGAAATATTTTGTAATTGGAAATGCATGTATGTATATGTAAATATATATGTATATTGGTGCTGTAGATAGAGCTTGGATATCATCATCCACTTCTTGCCATTTCCATCTTTTTATTATGTCTGTTCTTCTTCTTGTTGCCCGAGTACCAGAATCTTCGTTACCCTAAACCAGAGTTTTCTTGTAGCATGTTGGAATAAGCTTCCCGTATATCAGCTTAATGTTGCACTTCAAATCTTGGCTTTAATTTAAAGAGAAAGTCTGAGGTCAATTATGTAATTAAAGGTGTTCACGCAAATATAGACCCATTTGGCTCGTACCATGGGAATGTGGCCTCGGGGGGATCACAGGTGTGGGTAGACTGTATGGGGGGAGTACTGTATCCATGTACCCTCATGTTCAGGCGATTGGCTCATTCCTGAGACCACTTTATCTTTTCATCACTCTGTAAAAGCAAAGCGCCGAGCCCTGCTTTATGCCAAGGGGGGCGTAGCCGTCATTATCTTTCACTGTCTGGAACAGACAGCCTCTCAATTGCTAGGTCCTTAAACTCCTGTTGAACTCTGGCTCTTTAAGATGTGATTCTGTGTTGTTATTGTTAATAGAATCCCTGCATTTGTGGCTGTAGATAGTAAATCTTACGTAGCAAACTACCCAGTAATCCAATGCCAACCACTTCTGCAATGTCCTTTATTGATAAAGCTGCCTGTTTTTTCCCTTTTTGTATACAAAAATATGTTTGTCATGAATCCATAGTGTTTGCACACTTTTATATTTGATGGAAAATTAAAGTGCATCACGTGAATTGGAAGCATTTGTTGTCTGTTGTTGGATTTTGGATATTGTTATGTTGACAGTGAAGAACAACTATGGTTAAGGTTATAATGCCATAGCTACATTGGAAATCAAGAACACTTTAGAAACAACATAGCTGGCAAAAATATAATACAGGGCCATGAAACCCCCCTGTTTCAGCAGGGTGTTTTTACACCTCTAGTTTGGAAAAAGTCAGAAAAGTGGGTGTGTTTAGCTCTGTTTAGGTGGGAGTGTCGAGGGATGGAAAAGGGGAAGGTTTTGAATAAAAATGGGAGTTGGCATTTGGGCACGCGCTGATTTTCTCAGGGGAAAAACAAACACACACGCAGGGGAAAAAGACAGTGTGTTTAATGACGATGGAATGTTTGATACCGCACGTCATATAAGAAAAAAAACCTCTGCATTTCTCTGTAACTCAGATGCACTCGGTAGGTCAAAAAGCTGTGTGTGTGTAGACTCTCCTGTCACAAAATGCGGCGAAAATTAAACACGACGGTCTGCAATAGTTTGCTTGCAGTGTTCACGTTTATACTCGGAGAGCAGCATTTACAGCAGATCTTTCCGTCCATAATTATGTAGTGATATTAACGTAACTAAGTAACTTAGAAATCATTTTGACTAAGGTCTGTCTTTAAACACTGAAAAAGTACTGCTGACGATGCAAACTTTAACTTTGCCATCTAAATGAACAAAGAAAGGGTGCTGATCGCACCCACTTACCAAATCTGTAGAGACCGGACAATCACCACATACTGGAGCTGCATCTTTTATTAAAAGGAGACAAATCCGGATTTCACAATTTCCAGATGCGAAAAGCTCTCGAGTAAAAATAATGTTCCGTACAAACGTATTTCTGCCGCGTGTCGCGTGCACTGATCCACACGTGAGTCCAGCTGCGCTCTCATAGCTGGAAAATGAAAACAAAACCTTCACTGCAGCAAATTATAAAAGTAACACTGACGACCTGTATCTCCAAACAATTCTTATTCTTTTCCCACTTCTTTTGGCAACACAACATGTTGTCTCTCTGCTGTCTGAACACTGTTTCAAGTACAGTCTTCAAAACTAGCATGCATATTAATGAAGTTGCACCGCATGTGTTCATTCATGAGTCTTACTCATGAATGAATGCAACACACTCAGAGACTTAATGCAGTACTTCCAGGTACAGACGTCCAGTATACACGCTGGAATACACTCTAAGATTTCATGGCCGTGACGTGGTTTCAAAAATTTGTTTCAAACCGGAAGTACAAATTTGCTCGAAATAACGCAAAAACAACCAATTTTTACTTTTTTGTGAAATATATGTGTCCTAATAGTGTTTTTAGCAGTGTGGGAGACATATACAATTGCCAGCAGCTCAAAAAATGTGTTTTGGTGTTTCATGACCCTTTAAGAATGCCAGTTTGCAATATCAAGCAGTATAAAGATCTGTCTTTACTGTCTCAAACATTACAATAATGTTTGTTAGCAGTAATCTGCTGAGACTTTTAGTCCAGTATGTTGATGTACTTTCAACTGAAATGGAATATTGATTAGGGGGCGGGGCCTTCTTTTTACGCATTATGAAGAAGTTTTTTTTCCCTCTCCGCTGTCGCCACTGGCTCGCATGGTTCAGGATTAGTAGAGCTACGCATCGATGAATTTGCTCTTCAGTTTTTGGACTCTCAGTAATGATTAAATCACACTGAACTGAGCTAAACTGAACTGAACTTAAACACTAAAAAACTGAACTACACTGTTCCAGTTACTATGACCATGTGAAGCTATGTGAAGCTGCTTTGACACAATCTACATTGTAAAAGCGCTATACAAATAAAGCTGAATTGAATTGAATTATTCCCTCATTGCAAACTAACCATAAGGAGGGCGTGGCTACTAATATTGTGGCTGAAGCATCAAACTGACATCAGCAAAAGGATTGCCACTCTGAAAACAGAAGCAAAGGGTCAGACTTACGTTGTAGTTTTAAATGGTGAAAAGTGTAGCGGTCAATATGGCGAATGGTGGTCAACAAACGCACTGGAATCTCATAGACATTAAAAATATATCCACATAAAGCTTGAAATCTGTACTTTTAAATGAACTAAGTGCACTTGATTACAAAAGTTTTTGGCTTTGTAATCTGCATGAAAGTAAACGCGAGGTAGAGTTCATCCTGTTAAACGCACTACACGACAGCAACAACTCAAACGCTCATAAACATGTGAACAAAGAGTTGCTGTCATTTCTGAAGATTCGCCATCAAGACCAAGTTGTGAACTACTTATAAGAAGCAGCGCAGTCTGACGATCATTATCCAGAGGTTGATAAAGTGTAGAATGGCCCTAAATGAGGTTGGTGTCGTGATCTCGTTTATTTCGAGTGCACATGCACCCTGAAAAAATGTGGATTTTGTTTGATTTGAACGTTTAGAAACTAAAGAGACAGTTTTTTATGTAGTTATTTATTGGTGATTCCAAATATGTAATGTAATCGTAAGCTTGGCAAACCGTTTTGGAGAATTTGATATTTCCCCATTCAGACAGAATGCCCGAGCATAGCTACTGCCTGAGAGGCATTTTAAAGATGGCTGCCGAGTGAAATTACTTGCCTTGCTTTGATTGAAGATTACAAAAACTATTTTATTTTTTAGTGGATTAACTAATATGGATTAATTATTCACCTAAAGAATAACAATGTGCGCAAGCAAAATAAACGCTTTAAAAAAATGTTAAATACATTTTGAATTCACAGACTAAAAATTAGGTGCGCTGCTAAAAATATTGAGCTTTATTTGAACACAGAACCACGACGGATTTGTCTAGTTTCTAAAATTACATTCACTTTTTCCAAACACGTATAAATGGAAACACTTCCTGCATTTTAATTATGTACATACATGCGAAATAAGTCAACAAACGTTAAACAATGCCTTACTGTTAACACACACATACACACACAGCCTCATTATCTTAAAAAGACGTGATATGGAGGCTCTTCCACTTTTTTTCTTCAGGACTGGTTGGACTGGTCTGGCAGGTTTGTGGGATGATGATGATGGAGTTTTAAAGCAGGCTCAAACGTGCATGCGTTCGCACGTGGACGCGTCCAAACACCAGCCAGAGGACAGCAGATCAGATCCAGCGCTGTTGAATGAATCCACTGATTTATGAGCTGCTGTCTGTCTGTCAGACATCTGCAGATTACTGTTGCACCCGTGGAGAGTTACTCATTGACTAGCTCTGCAAACAGGAAAGAGCTGAATACAGTTATTGTTCCCTAATCTAGATCTGCTACTGTCTCTAGCCCAGACAGTTCTGACATTATTGCATGAAGACTTTAAAGTTTAAGACATGGGCATTTCATTTGAGGTACTTTGCTCTTTCTGATATGCGAATGCAGACACTGATGTAAACTCCAAAAATGCTGCCATTATAAAGTATAAACTGTCTAAAAGGTAAATAGTTAAATGGCTTCAGAGATGGGTGATGTCAGGGTGAGTAATTCACTGTGACGCCTTGAACATACAGGTGTTTCCTTCAGGACGTTTTCCTGCAAGATCTAACTTGAACCGCATTCTTCTTCCTTGAACTTGCAAATGATTTATCAGCCTGATTATTTGTCGCTCCAGTGCGCCACCTTGTGGAAAAAAAACTGAAGTCAACACACAGCTTCATAAATAAATGCTGTCTTTCTTTAAAGGCCCAGCCGCACCACTTTTGGCCGTGTAGTAGAGCACGTTGCATTCAGACCCAAGTGTGCCGCAAGCCTCCGTTTGAGTGAAGGTCTCGGCCGTTAGATCGCCCCCTGGAGGCTGGCTGCAGTACAAGTCATAAAGCCCGCCTCCTCCGTGTTAATGAAAGAGACTTGAGCCCAAATAACAAAATTTATTACACTTGCAATAAAATGTCCCGAAAGATGGTTCTGGTCGGTTAAGGCACTGGTTATTGTGCTGAAATAGGTGCAGATCTTCATTTTTGTAAACAGTTTGTTTTTAGCAGTAATTTAATGCTGGGCGTGTCATCGTGATTGACAGCTGTGATTGACAGTTTCTCAAAGCAGCGCGTCTGAGCTTCGGCAGGAGACTGAAGTGTTATTATTCGATTTCTGTGTTATTTCACCATGACAAAATGAGTTCAGCAGTAAACTATAGTTTCTGACATACATGATCCTGGTGGAACACTGTTTATTCGCTAAGGTCAGGGCTTTTTTCGGGCTTTATTTGCTGATACACGCCTAACCACCCCGATAGCAAAATACACTCTGGCCAGTAGTTCCGGCTAGATTTTCGCCTGCCGGAGACTTACCCCTCAGAGCTCAGACTGACTGATCTGCTGGACCTACTCCGGATGCCTGGACTCACTGCCCGATTCCAGCCCGAGTCAATCGAGCCAGATGCGGCGGCCGAGCGAGCCGGCGCTGCCGCATGCCAGCCGGAATCAGCCCGGAGCTGGCGCGAATGAATATATAAAACCCTCATATTTGTTAACGTTATTACATCCATTTGTGTTGATATGACAGCAAACGCATGCTGAGAATTTCGGGGGGCGTGGTTGATTTTACATAAAGCGTTTGGTTGGAAGCTCGACTCTGCTCATTTTCGCGGCTCCTCCTCTGGCTCCATCAGACAGTCCTTCTGCGCATGTCAAGGCTCCAATTTCAGCAGTCTTTTGCGACAGTTTGTGCCCGTCAAGCAGGTGTTTTGCCCTCAAGGCGTTCAATGGGAAAAGGGGCTGTCGCGTCGTCCATATTTTTTACAGTCATTGATTCAGACCATCAGTACTCTATTGATGCCGTCGCGGTGCGACCTCTTTCGGCCGTGGAGGGCACTTGAGTAATATCATCAGTCAGGAAGTGAAGATGGCTGATTTTTAAAGAAATCAGATCTTAAACGCGGCGATTTAGTATGGGACGACAGTTCACCGGAAGCCTTTGAGCTGGCTGACCGAAAATTAAAAGTCAGAAGTCAGTGTGCACTTTAAACCCACCACTTTTCGAGCTTCATGTGTCCCCTCAAATGGTATTTACACTGAATATTTTGAAATGTTGCAGTATCCTATCTGTCCACAGGTCGGTGCTCAAGCTCTGTTTATGGCCAATTTTAGATAATAATAAATTCAGCTGTGAAACCTCAACTATAACAAACAAGAATACACACATAAAACACACATACATGACCAAATTTAAAAAAAATATTATAATAAAAAGTAGTAGATTATAACTTAATATATAACAAGCAGTAAAGCTATGAGCAGTGGAAAGACACGCTAATCAATAAAATAGCATAATTAGCATAAAATTAGCAAATGAGCGCTTCATTAATACCGTACGTCACATATTTTACCAGGGATTTAAGAAGAAAGTCAGTATATCTGAGAATGTAGAAGTGACTGTATTTGTTTTTTGTCAATGAAAAGAGTCTGTCTTTCTTGTAAATGTGCTCTTAATAGCAGTGCTGGATTATTTGCCAGAATGACTCTGTTCTGCACATGAATTTTGGCACGAGGCTCTCAGACAATCTGTCTATGAGATGCCAAATGAGGCCCATGGAAACTGGCACACGATGAAAGCAAAAGCAGAAGCCATTTCTTTTTATATCAATGATTGCTGAGAATAATGGGGTCCTCGGCAGAATAGCGAATGCATTCATGGAGGCACGTGCAGCTCTGATGTTTTCAAGTTATGTAAGAATGAATGATGGAGGAAAGGAGAAAGCGATGGAAATGGTTTGCTCAGTGATGGAGAGAGAGAGAGAGAGAGAGAGAGAGAGAGAGAGAGAGAGAGAGAGAGAGAGAATTTCCCCTCTGGAATTCCCCGCATGCGCAAATGATGCAGGCGTTATGATGGTTTTTTCTGTCGTAAATGAGTGAGCAGGCTGCATAGATGTGAAATCAAATAATTAAGTCGCGACGTGGCCTACAGAGGTTGGTTAGGGAAATGGACAGAGAAATAACAATAAGAAATAACAAATACATTTCTGTGGACGGGGGTTTTAGAAATGGAGATAAAATAAAAATCAAAGCAAAATAAGGTAGACTCCCTATAAAATCAATTTAAATAAATAAATAAATAAATAAATAAATAAATAAATAAATAAATAAATGCAGTTAAGGTAAAATAAAACCACAAACTCCACACAAAATGCAAGGTTTGGGAAAAATAAAATAAATATATATTAGTTAATTATTAAGATACTGGTTTAGTGGTTTGATAAATAAATAATTAATTAAATAAATAAATATTATTTAAATAAATAAATAAATAAACAAATAAATGTAGTTTAGGTAAAAAAATGAAAAAAATGAATTAATAAGATACTGCTTTAGTGGTTTGGTAAATAAATAAATAAATCAACCAATAAAGAGGACAAGCAAAATATATTTATAAAATATAAAATCAAGTAATTTAACACACTCAGTAACATCCCTTATGCTGTTTGGAAAATGTGAGGGAATTTAAAGATTAAATTAAATTAAATCACAATGGGCAGCACAGTGGCTCAGTGGTTAGCACTGTCACCTCACAGCAAGAAGGTTGCTGGTTCGAGTCTCGGCTGGGTCACTTGGCATTTCTGTGTGGAGTCTGTATGTTGGTGTTCGCGTGGCGTGGGTTTCCTCCTGGTGCTTCGGATAGGACTATATGCACTATAGGTGAATTGAATAAACTAAACTGACAGTGGTGTATGTGTGTGAATAAGTGTGTATGGGTGTTTTCCAGTAATGGGTTGCAGCTGGAAGGGCATCCGCTGTGTAAAACATATAAGGATAAGCTGGCGGTTCATTACACTGACCAGTGATAAATAAATAGACTAAGCCAAAGGAAAATTAATTAACTAATTTAATCACAACTTTGACCGAGGACAGATGGTTTTGAAAAGGTAGCCTATATGAACTGAAATAAAAGAAAATAATAAAGAAAATCTGAATCAGAAATGCTAGTTAATAGGTAATATGTTGTGTAACATAATGTATATTTCAGACAGAACGTTTCTTTATTTTTTTCTCCAGCCAAGGAAAATAGTTTCAAAAGAAACTCAAGCATCGAACTTGGCATAAAAACTAAAGGCATAAAAGGCGATCTGAAGCTGCAAAAGTGGAGCGGAGCCATTGAGATTTGCCATCCCACTTCATATCACTCGCAGACGCGGGTCTAATATTCATAACACAGAAGCGCTCTTTAAATGTATAAATATGTGTGCCCATTTCTTATTTTCTCGTAAACTCCGTGCATGAATAAACTCAACGAAGTCGGGTATGGAATTAACAAATACTAAATATCGACACACACACATAAAAAATATTAAACTCCCCTCATAAAAGTAATGAATCATACGCAAATGTTACCCTCACCCATCCTAGCCAATCCATTCTGATAACCTCGCCAACCGCTCGCTAATAATCCCAAAGCCAACGAGAGGCCCGCACACATAGCACGTGACCAAACACAGCAGCGTCACTAGAGTGGCTTTATTCCCGACTGATAGCGCAGTCTTTGTCGTTGCTGTACTTGTAGCTGCTTGCCGTCCGCTTCAACAACAACACCCGCCGCTCCACCAGCGTGGCTTTACCCCTAAGGTCAACCAATATCCCCGTTTTTACCTGGATTGTCTCGAAAATTCTTCTGACAACGTAACGAATAAGGTAATAAACACCATTAACACCTGTCTGTGCCGTCTGCCTTTCGAGAAGGTGCCGCTTTCTGGGGATTTTTTATTGTGAGATATCGTTAGCTAGATAACGGATCTAACGTACGCTTGTGTTTCGATTGATGCTGTGTATCATAACACTAAATGTCTTGAAAACTAGTATTTAAAGTCTTTTGTCGTATAACGAGGGTTTAAAACGGGTTTGGTCAACAGGTATATCATATGAGTGTTTTAGTACTAAAAATAATCAAGCTTTATCCGCGTTAATCTGATTATCGTAACGTTACACCGCTTTTCTAGACAAATAAAGTTCACGTTTGTACATGAAACTGATATTAAATACAGCAAACATTGGTTTTAGATCGTATTTATTATCTGTTTGTCAAATGTACATACAAAGCTTAGGTTTTGATTATCTAAAATATTTTTGTTTAATTCAATTGATAAGTTCATTAGTACAGTTACATAATAATAACAACTAATTGATACATTAATAATAAATGATAGCAATAACTATGTTTTAGAGACTTTATATACCAACTAGTTATCTAAAATAAATATTCCCACAGGCTGTAGCTCATAAATAGGCAGCTTTTGTAGTCAACATTGACACGTGCAGCACTTTTGAGCTGACTATGCAGCACATTACAGTAGGTTTGACACACACAACTGCAGTGTCTTTGTCCTCATATTGTAATTCAGTGTAAAGACTTTAATAATCAGAAGAAGTTCAACATGAGCCCACGCTTGACACCGCTTTGAACTGTTCTGTGTTTCATCTCTGGTACAAACACAAAGAGCTAGAAAGAAATGTTTGAACAAAAGAAAACTGATCTTCAATCTTCTTGGCTTGTTTGGACCTGTTGGGGAGAAAAAGAGAAAGATTTGTTTATACAGGCTTCCCACAGTCAGTTAAAATACCAGGGCAAGGTCATGGTAATAACTATAACAGTGATGTTAATGATGAAGAAAAACGCGTTTCAGTACATTTGGTGGTTGAATCAAATAAGCTCTACAAGTCATTTATACAGTTTTTATACTAGCAAGAATAAAGTGTAATCATGTTGATATCAGTGCAAATAAATGCCTTTAAAGTTGTTGAACATACTGTAACTGTGAAGTAAAGTAACCGTTTGTGAGTGAACCATTATCAATTTACTAAATTTAGACAAATCCCAAGATATCTGCAACGTGATCTGATGATCATTTGTGAGTTTAAATTATCAGATCCTTTATAAAGTCTTTATCCATATTTTGCAAAGGATTAGACCGATCATAAAAAATGACATGCATAACATAATAATTATTCATCTAAATACATCCATCCATCCATCCATACATACATGTATGCGTGTTTATAAAATAAAAATAAATAAATGTGTGTGTATGTATATGTGTGTGTGTATATAATATATATATATATATATATATATATATATATATATATATATATATATATATATATATATAATGTGTGTGTGTGTGTGTGTGTGTGTGTGTATATATGTGTGTGTGTGTGCGTATGTATGTATGTATGTATGTATATATATATTGGTGTGTGCTTGTGTGTATATATGTATGTGTATATTAGGGCTGCACAATATATTGTTTGAACATCTATATCGCAATATTTGTGTCCACAATAGTCGCACCGTAAGATATGCAATGTTGGGTTGGAATTATAGATGAACCACAGGTCAAAACATGAGATTTGTGGAGACACTGCAGAATATAGGCATAATAGAGTGAAAGGTAAATATTGCTTGTGTTTTTAAGGCCTGTGACTATGCAAGCATTTTGAGAGAGTTCAAAGTATTTTAATAGTGCATAAAGAAGTTTAGAAAAAGATTAATTTATATTACAATGTCAACATTACAATGTCAAATTTTCCAATATTGTGCAGCCCTATATGTCTATAATTAAAATCCCCTCTATTTAAAGATCATATTGCAGCCCCAAAATTCTAATTAATTATAATTTAAAATATTTAAATATTCTTCAAACTTCTAGATTTAACAATGTGTTGTTTTTTTAAATTTATCATGAATATAAATATGAGCACTTACTCTTTATATATATATATATATATATATATATATATATATATATATATTAGTAAGTGTACTTTTTTATTTTTACCTATATATCGTTGGGCGAGGCAGTGGCGCAGTAGGTAGTGCTGTCGCCTCACAGCAAGAAGGTTGCTGGGTCGCTGGTTTGAACCTCGGCGTTTCTGTGTGGAGTTTGCATGTTCTCCCTGCCTACGTGTGGGTTTCCTCCGGGTGCTCCGGTTTCCCCCACAGTCCAAAGATATGCGGTACAGGTGAATTGGGTAGGCTAAATTGTCCGTAGTGTATGAGTGTGTGTGGATGTGTGTGGATGTTTCCCAGAGATGGGTTGCGGCTGTAAGGGCAACCGCTGTGTTAAAACTTGCTGGATAAGTTGGCGGTTCATTCCGCTGTGGCGACCCCGAATTATTAAAGGGACTAAGCCGACAAGAAAATGTATATATCGTTATTTTGTATGATGATAAATCATTGTTTTTTAATATTTACTTTTCACAAAGCTCTTAATGATGAAATGTCAGTCGATCTGTACTTATATTCCATTCCATTGTATAAATAAGATATGTTTTTTCCTAGAATTGTTCACAGTGTGATTATGAAATAGTTTTACACAACAGCAGTGGTTTGGCTGTGACGGACAGAGTCCTGATTATCTCCAGATTGTTACTGATTTTGGCCACTCAACAGGCTGTGACATTCTGGACAGGGGCTTTATGTAAGGCTTGAGCAAAGGTAATTTAGTTGTGTAAACACCAGACACTAAAATCCTCTGGCTTCACAGGAATCCATTCAGCTCTCATGTTGTAAAACTGTCCATTATAAACTGCAGAAGCACAGCAGCATCCAACGCCTGTTGTGCACAGCATGTTTTCTCATCTGTCTTGTTAATCTGATTGTGTCTTTGCGTGTTTCTTTTTCTCTTATCTTGATGATGCGTTATGTTTATATAGGACAAACATTATCACAACATTCTTTCTTATCGGCTTTACTTAAATGTTAAATCAAATGTGTACAGAGATGTTAGGGTTGAAATGTTATCTATACTGTATGTGATGAATGATTATACAAAGTTTATAATAATAAACAATTGTACATAATTAATAAAGGGCAGTTCACCATCAGCAAGTTCCAAAGCTATTTTTTGTCTTCTGTTGAACACAAAAGACAATTTTTTAAATACTGTTGAAAACCCACAACCCTTTACATCCATAGTAGCTTGTTTTTGATTAAGGGATGTCTATGGTGACTGGTTTTCAACATTCTTCAAAGTAGCTTATTTGGGGTTAAACAGAAGGGAAAAACACGATTCTTATAGTGTAGTAAATGTAAGTGAATAAAACATTTTTGGGTGACTATCCTTTTAATTAATGTGTCATTTTTTTATGGGTACTAAAATTGAAAAACCTGTTTGCATTTAGATTTTCCTATTAAGCAAGTTTTCTCTTACAGCAACATGGCCTGAAAATGACTTATAACTCACTGGAAAGTTAAAATGAATAGGCGATTGCAAAATTATAGAAACTGGAAAATTAAAGGCATAGTTCAGCCAAAAATTCTTTCATCATTACTCAAATTTACCATTTTTTTCTGTTGAACATAAAAGATGATATTTTAAATACTGTTGGAAACTCGCACCCGTCCACATCTACAGTAGTTTAATTTTTGTATTAAGGATGTCAATTGTGACTAAAGCGTTCTTTAAAATAGCTTCTCTTGTGAAAATACACTATTTTTTATAGTTGAGTAAATGGTGAGTGAATTTAAAGTTGTGGGTGAACTGTCCCTTTAATTAATGTGTCATTTTTATGAGGACTGAAAGTAAAAAATCTGTTTGTATTCAGATTTTCCAATTTATTAAAGTTTTCCTTTACAAGTAAAATGGCCCCAAAATTACATGTAACTCACAGATGAGTCAAAAATAAATAGGCAATAGCAAAACTATAAAAACTGGAGAAATAAAACTCTTTATTATCATTACTCAAAAAACTTGTGATTTTTTTTTTTTTATTGATTGATTTTTTTTTTTATGCTGAAAGCAAAAGATGATATTTTAAGTACGGTTGGAAACCTGCAGCCGTTCACCTATAGTAGTTTATTTTTTTGTTATAAGGATGTCAACGGTGACTGGTCTAAACCATTCTTCAAAATAGCCTCTTTGAGGTTAAACAGGTGAACTCTCCTTTTAATTAATGTCATTTTTTATTAAGAATTTTACAGCAAAATGACCTGAAAATGACACATAACTCACTGAAAAGTCAAAAATTAATAGGCAGTAGCAAAACAACTGTTAAAAACTGAATAGTTAAAGGGATAGTTCACCCCAAAATTCTGTCACAGCCATGTCACCCTGCAGCCCAAGACCGGTTACTCACTGAAGCTAAGCAGGGCTGAGCCTGGTCAGTACCTGGATGGGAGACCACTAGGGAACACTAGGTTGCTGTTGGAAGTGGTGTTAGTGAGGCCAGCAGGGGGCGCTCAACCTGTGGTCTGTGTGAGTCCTAATGCCCCAGTAAAAGTGAAGGGGACACTAAACTGTCAGTGGGCGCCGTCTTTCGGATGAGACATTAAACCGAGGTCCTGACTCTCTGTGGTCATTAAAAATCCCAAGGCACTTCTCGTGAAAGAGCAGGGGTGTAACCCCGGTGTCCTGGCCAAAGTCCCTCTATCGGCCCTTACGATCATGACCTCCCAATCATCCCCTCTCCACCAAATTGGCTCTATCACTGTCCCCCCACTCCATCAATAGCTGGTGTGTGGTGAGCGCACTGGCGCCGTTGTCCTGTGGCAGCCGTCGCATCATCCAAGTGGATGCTGCACACTGGTGGTGGTGTGGAGAGACCCCCCTCATGATTGTGAAGCGCTTTGGGTGTATTGCCATACACAATAAATGCGCTATATAAATACACATTACATTACATTTACATTACATTTTACTCAACCTTCTTTTGTCACAAAAATGTCAGATATTTTTTCTGTTGAAATCAAAAGAAGTTATTTTTAAAAATATAAAAAAACAAAGGTAACTACTGATTTCCATAGTAGGAAAAACAAATACTATGAAAGTCAATGGTTACCAGTTGCTAACATTCTTCAAAATATCTTTTTTGTAAATTAAGTATCTATCAAGTAAATTAAGTAAACTTTAATTTTTGGGTCAATTATCCATTTAAGTCAGAACTGAATTTGACATCCAGTACTGGATTTGCATTGCATATTCATCAGTATCAATTGTGATTTATCAGTTTTGTTCTGTTTGCAGAGGCAGCATGGAGGAAGAGGAGCACTTTGTGAACATAGACCTGAACGATGACAATATTTGCAGCATCTGTAAACTAGAAACGGACACGGGAACACTTTCCTTCTGCCATGTGTGCTTTGAACTCAGCATAGAGGGTAAGAAGTTTATTTATACATGTCTATTTTTAATCATGTACAAGTATTTTAATGTCCTCTACTTGCCAGTACTGGTTCAGATTATGCTAATTCTAAATTAGTAAAAACCTCCTCCGTACGCCCATCCATATCCCCCTTATTCATGTATTAGCGAGCCCCCAGTTTCTTCCGCTTCATGAGCTGCTCAAAAAATGAACTGGAGCTTTTGAAGTGGCACTTTAGCATCTAATTAACGCTCCGCTTATTAAGGGTAGAGTAGCGTTTCCTGAGGGGCCTCATTGGAGCAGCACTTTTGTTCTTTGCAGCTGTCATTTTTTCACTCTGAACCTTCCCCAAAAGAGCTCTTAGTGTTTCAAATGGTTTTATATCGTCATGGCAGGAAGTAAGCATCTTGGCTTTAAAGATTCTTCTCTGGAATCACACACCTTTGTCTGGAATTTTTCCTTGAAGTTGGTTTCAGTTATAATGTGATCCTCAGGTTTCTCAAGTTTAATTGTAGATAAGCATTCTAAATTTTAGGACTTTGATTAGACGGTTATATATGTGTTTTTTGAGGAATATATTGTTATCATAACTGTGATCTGTTTCTTTTGTTTTTTGGATGTGGGTGTTTTGATTGATCAATTTCATTTGTAAATTTCTCTCACAAACCATTCTCTTTCATTTCAAGTTTTTTTTAAAACTGAATATTCTGATAAATCAATATAATGCACTGTTAAACATAATATTTTTATGCCAAGTCATAAAAATAATTATGCATAATAATAATAATCATTGTATCGTTAATTTCATTAGCTATTAGTCAAGTTTTAGTTGAGTCAGAGTTTGAGCAGTTTAGTTTGTGTTTAGTCAGTCACATTTGCATCATGCTGCATAACTGTTAAATTGATGTTCATTATTATTTGCTTACAGTTATGATTGCAGTGACTGTTGTCATTGGAGAAATTTATTTTTATATGCGGCATCTAATTAATCTTTAAGCACAAAACAAATTTTTTTTTCTTAAAAAACTTACATTTTTTCCATCTAGTTTTCCAAATTATTATAGACTAAGACAGCTTTAAATGATAAAAACTGGTAAACAAGAAACTTATCTCAAAAACAATTATATACACACACACACACACACACACACACACACACAATTTCACCAGATTTTATTATATATATATATATATATATATATATATATATATATATATATATATATATATATATATATATATATATATATATATATATATAAACCATTTTCTCCAGATGATTCGATGTATATAAACTATTTCACCAGATGGCTTGAAAACTGCTGTTTAGAAAAGTATTTATTAATTTGGATTAAGTGGAATGATTTTGTAGGGGGGTGAATCATTCATAAAAATATCAAAAAACAAATCTTTGCGCTTAAAAAAAAACTTAATTATGTAGGCTAATGGTTGTCTGTGCGTACAACACGTTTCCCTATCCACAAAAGAGAGAAAGTGAAAGTAAAGGCAGTAAAGTATAATTCTCACAGATGGTCTGTTTGACTGTTTTTTCGCTAGTGAAGCGTTCAGTTCTTCAACTTATAAAGTTCCCCATGTAAATAGCAAATGCACCATAGCGTGACACCACTGACTCTTAAGAGGAATCAGAGATGAGTCTCTGATTGGTTTATTCTCAAAAGACACCTATAACTCATTAAGAGAATAAGCTCAACCCAGTTAGACCATGTGCCACGGCGCAGAGTGAATTTTTCCTTCCTTAAAATAGCAAAAGTGGATCGAATACGCCCTTAATGCTTGTGCGCCCTGCACTTCAGACTTTGCGCCTAGAATGTTAAAATAGAGCCCAATAAATTGGTCCAACAAACATTTACACAACAATTAACAATAAAACATACAATATTCAAATAAATATGTATTTCATTTCACATTTGCTCCCCTTAGTGGGAGGTGTGTAATGTATGCAGTACAGGTGTTCAGTGTGTGTATTGAAGTTGCTCATTTTAGTTTCACTTTTGAATTTGTGATCAAGCTCATTTCACAGAAGTATTTGCATGCCAATCATTTGCAATTTTTCACACACACACACACACACACACACACACACACACACACACACACACACACACACACACACACACACACACACACACACACACACACACACACACACACACACACACACACACACACACACACACACAAAAATTGCATTGTGGGACAATTAACGGTTAGTAGCAGTAACATTACAATACATTTGGTCTCATACATAAAGGATTTTTTATCAGTGCATCCAATTTTTAGCTTTACCTTTTAGCACTAATTTTGTCACGTTCTGCCAGTACAAGCCTGTGCCTTCATACTGTGGTTTGTGTTTGATCAATGGCCAATCTAGGTCAGGTTGTCGAAGCGTGACTAGTGGATTCTATTACATACTTGGAAACTATGCAGAAAGACCTCTGCATTTCTAATGTCTCTCTTTCTCTCTTCTAGAAGCTCTGTTGCATTGTAACAGTGTGGCATACTAGCAATGTCTCCTGAGAGAATGTCAATTTACAAAAAAACACACAAACATTATCATTGTTTCATTTTTGTAACTTCCTTTCTTTAATGATTCTGATGTTATTGTGTTTTTTATGTGTTTGTGTGTGTTTGTGTGTGTGTTTGTGTTTGTGTGTGTGTGTGTGTGTGTGTGTGTGTTTGTGTGTGTTCGTGTGTTCTATCCTTGTGTTTTTTTTCTGCAAGTCATGCAATGTATTTCCAAAAATAAATGACTGTTCAGCCAGGCTGCCTTTTCCCCCCCCTAGCACTTTTCTCTGATTTATCTGCTTATCTGTGACACGCATAATCCCAGTTTATGAAGCCACTGGATTTGCGCTGGAGAAGGAAGCATCCATGACTCTGGCGAATGGTTCGGTCCGCTCATGAATTAGACGCACTGAATATTCATGCCTGCGATAGAAGGTTACCTCTCTTGAATATTTAACAGAAGAGCACAGAACACGAGGCAGCCCACAAACACCCAGCTGATGGTGAGCTTCAGGCTGCTGTATTTCACAAGTGATTCACCGCAGTTCGTGTTGCACAACAGCACTTGTGGCCCCTAAAGAGGCTCTGACAGGCCTGTGGTCTCAGGTCGCCCTCTTTTGATTGGCTGATAGCCACCGACATACACTCTCTTCCCACTGACAAAACACTCCAACGTTCTTGGCGTGGGTAAACAAGTACAAGCTGACAGTGCATGTTTAGACCTGAACGCTCATTTGCCCACACCTGCTCACGCACCTGCATACCCTCAGAAAACATCCTGGCTCCGGAAGTGACTATAAGTAACTTAAAGGGAACATGTTGTTTTCACACAATCCAAACATGTTTCTTTCTTCTGTTGAACACAAAAGAAGATATTTTGATGAACCTTGTGGCCATTGATTTCTACTGTGGATATCAATGGCTGTTTTCATCCCAAGTTTTCAGAATATCCTTGTTGGTGTTAAATGGAAGAAATAAATTCATAAGAGTTTAGAACCACTTGAATGTGAGTAAATGGTAAACCCCAATTTTGGGTGATCTATCTCTTTAAGTTAGCTGTTCATTGTTCTGTCCATATTCACTTGTCTATGGAGCCAGATGAGTCTAAAAAATAATATATTTGCAAATTATAATTCATACATCCACAAGACAATTAACATTTAAAAAAACACGATTCAGAAATACATAAATCCAATTCATAAATTCAAAACATGATTTGAAAACACACAAATTCAATTCACAAATTCAAAACATGATTCATAAATACGCAAATTCAATTAATAAATTCAAAACATGATTCATCAATACGCAAATTCAGTTCATAAATTCAAAACATGATTCATCAATATGCAAATTCAGTTCATAAATTCAAAACATGATTCGAAAATAAACAAGTCCCATTTGTGAATTCAAAACACGATTCGAAAATGTACAAATCCAATCCGTAAATTCAAAATCCGATTCGAAAATACACCAATCCAATCTGTAAATGTAAAACATGATTAGATAATACACAAATCCAATCCTTAAATTCAAAACATTATTCAAAAATACACAAATCCAATCCGTAAATTCAAAACCTGATTTGAAAATATACAATTCCAATCCGTTAAATCAAAACACGATTCAAAAATACACAAATCCAGTACGTAAATTCAAAACGCGATCCGAAAATAAACAAATCCAATCCATAAATTCAAAACCCGATTCTAAAATACACCAATCCAATCTGTAATTTCAAAACATGATTTGAAAATTACACAAATCAAATCTGTAAATTTAAAACCAAAATACACATCCAATTTGTAAATTTAAAACGCGATTCAAAAATACACAAATCCAATCTGTAAATTTAAAACATGATAAAAAAAAAAACACAAATCTAATTCGTAAATTCAAAATACGATTTAAAAATACACAAATTCATATCATTTGGTCAAAATATTTATTATTCACAAATTATGTGTTGTATTTCTGAATTGTATTTTAAATTTACAAATTGGAATGTGAATCGAATAAATTTTATTTCATAAATGTATTATTTTTGAGACTGATCGGGCTCCATATTTGTCTGCCTCCTTTTTTTTTCTTCAGACAGGCAAACTGATGAAATTTGAGGTCATTTTTAGGTCTAAATGTTTTGTTTTGGAAGCAGCAGAGGTCTTATTTTTATCATATGTCATGAATGCTGGTCGGTTCTGCTTTTCTGTTTCCTCAGCTACAGTGAGAGAATATGGCCACTGTTTTTCTGCATGCATGTTGAGAACACACACAGGAAGTTGGCTGCATTGTTAAAGCATTTAGAGAAGTATAAGAGAGTGGTTAGTCTTTGGTTTAACAAAAAAAAAAAAAAAAAAAAAACAGGTTGAAAGAAATGCACACTACATAAGGAAAGGGAAACTCAGTCGCAGAATGTAGGTATTTTTCAGGTTTCTTGGATGAGGATGTTTGAAAACGGATGGCTTTAGGGCTGCAGTTTTTTACCCATGC